GTCCTTAGACGGCTGAACCAAACAACACAACTGGTCAATATAATAAAGAAACGCAAGCTAGAATACTTCGGTCATATTATGAGACACCCTGAAAAATATGATCTTTTACATCTGATCATTCAGGGAAAGATCCAAGGTAATCGTGGTCCTGGTAGAAGAAGAACATCATGGCTGAAAAATCTAAGGCAATGGTATGGAAAATCAACTACATCGTTATTTGGAGCTGCTGTCAATAAAGTCACGATAGCGAATATGGTAGCCAACATGATATCCAACGATCGATAACGGTCATGGAACTAGAAGAAGAAGAAGAATTCCCAGGCCAATCAAGAAGGGTAATATTATTATCCTTGAAGTATTTCATCATAACCTTCAATACATGGCACAGAGCTGAATCTTGTTGAAAAATTGCAGTCCTTTCAGCCTGTACTTTGTCAAGCTCTATAGCTAAGGGTTGCCCTAGCATGGCTTTGTACTTTTCATTGTTCATCATACCTTCAATGGTAATAAGAGTGCCAGTTCCTGTGTATGAAAAAGGGCCCCAGAACATTTTTTTGGTGGGATGTTTAACTGCTTGGTTAATATGGCTAGCAGAAAGTGACTCATTGGCTGCCTTTCAATACGAATTTTGATCGCTAGCCCTGCACTAGGAAGTTGGTCTCATCAGAAAATAGCACTTTTCTCCAATTTTCTACACTCCAATGAGCATATTTTTTGCCCAATTTAGTCTTTTTTTCATCATAGGCGCTGTCAGAAGTTGTTTCTTCTGCGGTCTCATGGCTCCCACGGTTCTCCCTTCTTTTAAGAGACGTCTGCGTACCGTTGAGTTGTGAAATTTTATTCCAGCCTTTTCTAAATTTTATCGTCATAACTTGTTTTTCTGGGATGAAGTTTGCTATCGCGCAAAACAAAACTCTTTATCTCGAGCAGTAGTCTTCCGTTTTCTTCCACATTTTCCTTTCCGTTGCACTTCAACTGACCCTATTTCCTTTTTTTGTTTAATTATTTTGTTTACTGCACTCAAACTTACACAACACTCCTTTGCAATGTCCCTCTGAGTCATTGGTGTATGCTCACTAAGTGTTATGATCCTTTCTCTTTTCATAGAAGTGATATCCACATTAAAAAGTTAAACCCGATTGCACAGTTAAATAAATGAAAATAACACCAACTTGCACATATCGTACACGAAATGTTCAGTCACGCTATAAAACTGACGAGATATCAGAGAAACGATATCGAGATTTTTAATATTGTTTTGAAGCTATTTTCTTGTGGCATTATAAAGGAATAACTATTTAAATGAGCATAAGCCACAATTAAAGGTTAAAGTACGTTTATTGAAGTTTCAATTTCCACTTCGGAAATCGATATTAATATTGGCAACTCAATAATATTGGCAATATCATTTTTAAAGTCGTATACTTTAAAATGTATAATGTATGTCTAAATTGTCAATATAAATGAGTCAGATAAAATTAAATTAGAAGAATTTTTCACTAAGTAACAAAAAAACAAAATTTGTTTAATTTGCTAATGTTTGTGTTTTCAGAACGATTTCAGAAGTGGAAATTGAAACGTCAATAAACGAACTTTAACCTTTAATTGTGGCTTATTCCCATTTAAATAGTAATTACCAGAGAAACGGTCCAAATAGACCTTAGAACAATTTAAAATTTACTTCAGTTTCTACAATAGGCACCTTTTCCTGTTTAAAGTATTGTGTAAAAATTTTTATTAGTTTCGAGTTTTTCCCGTTTAAATTGTTTCAGACGCTGGACTATACAGGATTATTCACGCAACAATTCTCTTAGAAGTTTTCAATGTTTTATTTTCGTACATTTCTAAAAATTTAGATCAGGAGGAGGAGGTAAAAGATGTTCCAATGATGCTCTATATTAATACTTTTTTACTAATTATTACTATTAGTTAGACTGAAAATCGCTATCAGTTTCTTATTTTAAATGAAATGTTGGAATTGTATGCGTAATTTTGTAGTATTATAACGTGTATTCCTAAAGTTTTCGGAAAATTTTAGATTTAAAAATATTATTGGTAGGAAGCATTGGATCAAGTTGCCATTGGAAACCAAAGTTAGTAAACAACTTAAACGATATAAACAATGTCAGTTTTGACAAAATACGGTTCGTTAATATGTCGTACAAACTTAATATTCGTCAAAGTATTTATCGTTTAGTTATAAACGATATAAACAATGTCAGTTTTGACAAAATACGGTTCGTTAAGATGTCGTACAAACTTAATATTCGTCAAAGTATTTATCGTTTAGTTGGACATTACCAAAACGCGATATTGTAAGAATTTTTAATGCTCAAAATATTTCGGTGTCAACGATTTACCAGATAATTAAAGAGTACGGAAATGGTATACCATGCCTTAATTTGCCCAAAAGTGGAAGACAAAGAGTTTTAACTCCTATTCGGGAACAGAGATTAATTCAGAGTATGGAGAGCCAATTACCCCATTACCTGGTAATGGGGCTAAGATTAAATCAAGAAAAGACAAAAATTTTAAGATTAGGGAAAAAACCAATGAAGGAAAAAATCAAAATAGGAAGTTCCGAGTTTGAAGAAGTAGAATACTTCAAATACCTAGGAGTTACAATAAGTAAATCCGGAGAAAGGAAATCCGAAATAAAAGAAAAAATATTAGCAGCGAATAAAGCTTATTTTGCAAACAAAAGATTACTTAAAAGCAAAACACTGACTAAAAAAAGCAAGATGAGCATTTATAACACCATAATTAGACCAATATTATTATATGCAGGGGAAACAATGACGATGGTTAAAAAAAATGAAGAAGACTTAAGAATTGCAGAGAGAAAGATTATGAGAACCATACTAGGACCAATCAGAACAGAGCAAAATGAATATAGAAGCAGAACAAATGCAGAAATTAAGGAAGAACTTAAGGAAGACATCGTAACTAAAATAAAGCAATGCAGAGTTAGATGGTTAGGTCACATTTGGCGAGCAGGCGATGAGGCAGTGACATACGCAATGATAGAATGGAATCCAGGAGGAAGAAAGAGAAGGGGAAGACCGAGATCAAAGTGGCTGCAAGAAGTTGAAGAAGACCTCCAAAGGGCAGGAGTCAGTGAATGAAGAGGAAGAACTAGAGACAGGAAAGAATGGAGACATATTGTCAAGAAGATAAGATAAGATAAACAAAAAAAGACTGATCCACTTAAGAAAATAGGATCTAGAAAGCATTTGCGGTTTAACCCCACGCTGGGGTGTATAGCCATTATATATATATATATATATATATATATATATATATATATATATATATATATATATATATATATATGGAGAGTCAATTAGGAAAGTCTGCGAAATGTTGGCCAAAGACATAATGTTTCATGAATAACTGTAAATAGAACAATTTCTGTAAATAATTTAAAACGATATAAAAGAAAAAAAGCTCCTAAGTACACACCAGCCCAGTTAGAAAAAATTACTAGATGTTGCCGTGCATTGAGACGTATTCATTTTCCTGGTAAAATTCTAATTATTGATGATGAAAAGTATTTTACTTTATCCAATTCCGAAATGAAAGGCAACGACGGATTTTTTACACGCAATGTACAAGATGCACAGGACGAAGATAGGTTTAAGGAAAAATTGAAATTTACCGATAAAATGTTTGTATGGTGTGCCATCTCAAAAGCTGGTGTTTCACAGCCTTTTGTTGGGTGTGTTCGCGGTGGAGCTCTCAACGATGACAATTAAGTTGACAGGTGTCTTACAAAACTTGTTCAATTTATAAATACTCATCATCCCAATGATGAAATCATATTTTGACCCGACCTAGCGTCATGCCTTTACACCAGGAGAACGACAGATTGGTTAACTGCTCAAAATATAAATTTTGTTCCCAAGTGCGACAACCCCCCAAATGTGCCTCAGGCGAGGCCTATAGAAGAGTTTTGGGCTGTTTTAAGTCGAATGGTGTATATTAATGGCTGGGAACCCCAAAATGAAGATCAGCTATGGCGAAGAATTTTGCAAAAATTTCGTGAGATCGACTTAGAAACAGTTCAAAGGCTTATTGCACATGAAAGACCAAATTTACGTGCCATCGAAGATCGCGGACCTCTTTCTGTTCTATAAAAATATATTATAAACTTAAATATGTAGACTTAATTTCCTGTATTTAGTTAATAAAATAAACTTAATTAACAATTAGAAAATACATATTTATTTTTTCCGAAAACTTCAGGGATATGCGCTTATATTATTAAAATATATTATTGATAGCATTTTTATTACTTTTCTTCAATGCCCAAACTTTAATTACCAAATAATTCCGATAATAAAAGTGCAGACAAAGCGTCAGTCCCGGCCCGCAGCAGAATCGCTATCCCGTCCTGCGTCCCGTCCCGTCCTTCAGGACAAAACGCTGGACAAACTGCGGGACGGGACGTCCCGCGTTCATCAATAGATCCAAAGCAAATATTACCTTGATACATACAAAGGGAGATACGAAAATGTGAGAAAAAACCGAAGGAATATATTATTATTCTCTAGATAAAATCGAAGATAAACAGACAGGATTTACTATAGAAAGGTTCTGCATAGACCAAATACACATATACCTACACTACAACAATTAATTGAGAAAAGAAAGGCAAAAAAAGAAAGAACTAACGGTATTATAATTTTCATTTTATAATCGTCGAGTATTCCATATGTATTTATGAATATATTTATGTCTAAAAAATCGTATTCGTAATTTTTTATTTCTTCTCGGAAGCTAATGGCTTCAATCCATATCCGTTTTCAACACGTCATGTTCTCAATTTGATCCAAATACTTGTGGAATCGGCATGTTTCCGATTCGAGCACTGAGGTCACTTCCTATAATAATCTAACTTTAATCATCCTGGATATTTCAAAAACATTGTTTCTGGATCTACTAATGATTAGGGAAAACAGGAAAGGATTGTATTAATACTGAGAAATCGGGAAAATAAATTAAACGCAATAAAAATATTTTTATTTGTTATATTAATGTATCATTATTATAAATATATCGGCTTTTCATAATCATTTTCGCTTCCGTTTAGTAGTGGTAGTACTTTCTTCGCCTTTTTTTAACGAATTTAAAACTTGTAATTTTGATTCAACAATATTAAGCTAAAAATATAAATAATTTACGTAAATTTTAATAAAATACGACGGCAGTCCAATAACTACATAGCCTCACCACCCGATGGTACCACTATCGCAAGAGAAATTTACTGTCGCGTAGTAGATTGGCAGAAACAAGACCTGATACAGAGAGGACAAAAAGGATGTTAGAAACAGCAGAGATGAAAACACTTTAAAAAATTGATGGTAAGACACTATGGGATAGAGCTAGAAGTACAGATATATGACGTAGATGCAAGGTGGAGAACATCAAAAACTGGTAAGAAATAGAAGAGTAGAATGAAACGATCATATAAGTCGAATGACAACAAATGGAGTAGTAAAGACGGCAAGAAACGGTTCCGCAATAGGAAAACGATCAGTAGGAAGACCACGAAAACGATGGAATGACAACTTACTGGAGGCACATTGAAAAACAGACAGAGTCATGTCTCTATAAAAAAACGGGTGTGGTAGTCCAGTGCGACTGCCGGTAGAAGTTATACTTCTATACACGCGTTCGCCGTTAAAAATTTATATGGGAGTCAATCTGCACAATCATTACATATGTAATGCTATAGGTAAGAGAGAGCAGAAAGAGAAAAAGAATTAGTTATACAGGTATATGGTGCATCGTTTGCTGTATATAAACATTTGACCTGTAATAGGAGTACCTATAGTAAATGAAGGATTGTATCAATATTTTAATGAAAATATATATTTTTATTTTCATATATGTATAAAAGGAATTAAGTGCAAAAAAATTTTTTACACATACTCTGCAGTAAAATTCATTGTTTATTTTGTTATTAATATAAAAATTACAATACAATAAATACACTGCAACATAATTGAATTGGTGGTTATTGAAAGGAACTAACTCCACACAACTAAAATGTTGGGAAATTAAAAAAACTGTTTATAAACTCACTAGTAATTTTAGCAAAATGACGTTATGGTAGATTGAAAGCAACTATGCTGCAGTACTTAACAATAATCCCAGTAGGTTATTTGTTTTTAAACAAGTTTTATTTGAAAAAAATTGTGTTGGAATTAGTTCCTTCTAAAACTAATTGCTTGTATGTAAAAATAAATTAAACAAATTATTAGTTTCAAGTCAGATTTATCAATACTAAATTATTACATTGTCATTATTTAAACTAATCGTTTTCTTCCATAGTAGTAGGCCATGTAAGGCAAGCTTCATAAAAGTGCTTAAATTCTTCATTGTCTTCGGGAATATAAACTAATAACTTTCTGACAGCGTCAACTTTATGTTTATTGATTCGCACTTTTCCCTCAGGGTAAGCAATACACAAAGCATGGTCTAATTCCTGGTTGTTTTAAATTAAATGTGTGCTTAAATAAGCCCCCTATAAACTCTGATGTCTGCAAGTGACCATTTTGTAAATACTTGAACTCCATGAACGAGGCTGGTGCAAAAGTTTGCTTTTGTTGACGGGGAACGTTTCTGCCATACGATTCCAGAGATAACACGGTTTTTTTGTACAGCGCTGGCCACCATTTATTAAAGTCCTTGATATCTTCAGTACGAATAAATGTTTGATTTTGCGTTGGCGATTAACTCAACATACTCCATACATGATAAATGCGATCTGCTTTCTTTATACTTCTTTTAAATAGGCCGAATGTCCTAACGCAGTCTAGAAATGAATGGCCTCTTATGGGGAATATGTGGATAATATTTCCAAATCTTTCTGTCTCAACTAAACCCAAGCCAAAACGGATGAAAGTATAATTTTTATTCTGACCAGGACAGGAGTCAGAAAACAAATACAACGTTTTAGCCGTCTCTAATGTAGTCCATGAGAAAGCTGCATACTTCGTTTGCGCCTTTTTTAGCTGTACCCTCGGAATATAGATACATGCGTGATGAGTTATCTTTCAAATGTGTGATACAAAAAGCATGTACCCATATCTGTCTCATATAAAAGATTTCTTGCACTGGGATGTGTGGCCATTGGCAAGTTTTGCATAAAGTCAAATACAAGACCACACGTTGTTTCATCGGACTTGCAAAGTTCTCGAGTAGCTTTTAGTTGGTTATAAAATTTCTTACTTCGCCTTTTATGTACTTGAAGTTCAGCTTCTACTGTTAGCTTTACAGACTGAGATAAGTAGGGATTCTATAACTTTGTTTCCATTGCTTCACACGATGAACAAACATCAATTTGAGGCCGACCAAATCGCAGGTTAAAGTTTTCATTAAAATATTTTAAATAAAATTCATATTTGATCGTTGTCTTTGGATATTTTGATTTATAAAGTTTGTACATTATTTTTACATTGAATCTTGCATCCAAATATGTAATATGGCTTTGCCCATAATGGCTGCTTTTAGTAGGAAAAGATCCAATATGATCATGAATTTGTTTGCATAATTCCGCAGAGACTGCATGAGATTTAATATTATAACCTCTTTTGTCTTTTGGAGTTATTCCTTGAGAAAGTAATGTTGCAATACGATAAACACGTTTTTGGCTAACAACGTGCCAATTCATAAATGCTTTGCGGCATACTGCCACCCGATCATTATTTCGAATGCAAAAAAATTTAAAACTAGCATTGCGTTTCTCTACGTTCCCTCTTCTGCGTCTAATCGGGAAACATTCCATAAGCCGTTGTAAATGAAGCTCCTGTTCATTTTTAGAATTCAGATTGTGGAAGGTATTTAATAAATCAATTTGTTGATCTATTGTAAACTTTTTTTAACAATCCATTTTACAGCTGAAAGTAATAAGAATTACAACCATCGAAAACGACATAAAATGGTTGTATAGCCTTACCTGCATATAGGCGACACGATTGTCTTTTTTAGAACTATATTTCCTTTTGCAGTTTTATATGCTTCTCCTTTTAATTTATTCACCTTCCTGACATTAGACTTCCAGCTCTCTATCTGGCGCATACCTTTTTTTCCATTTTGAACATTAGTTTCATCCTCAATATTCATCATTTCACAAAATAATACAGAATATACACTACACTTCGGTTAACAGCCAGCTAGAACAGACTGCGAAAACAAGCGCGAAAACAGTAAAACTCACTCAGGTATGTGACTGCAATGCCAAGTCGGCCGTGCGCCATTGACAACGGTCGAAAGTTGAGTCGTGAACGGAACTAACTCCGGGATTGATATCCTTTCACGACCCAACCATATTTATCGGTTACAAAATCTAAGCACACTCTTAATGGGAGTAGGTTATTTTCTTTACCAGTCGATCGGCAATACCGAAAAATACCGCTTCACGTGTAAAAGTCAAAATTGTACATTTTTGGAGTTAGTTCCTTTTAATAATCATAGATTCAATTCAATATAATAATACAATGTAAATTAAAATGTAATATTCATTTAACTATTTAAAACTGCCAATATACATAACTTACTTTACGAAGATAAAAATAAAAAACTAACAACTCGGATTATATTGTAAATTTTCATTTTATTTTAAAATTTAGCATTTTTGCGTGTATTACATATATTTAATAAGATTAACGTGAGGTTTTTAAATATTTTAAAAATAAAAAAGGAAATTCATAATTGGGATTCGAACTCACAAACACCAGCGTATGAACCAAACACGTAAAGGATTTGCCAATTAGACATGACACTAACGGATTTTAAAATTGACAGTTCTCGGTGATTATTTTGAAATACAAAAGCCTAAAATAAATATAAACGTTTATATATATATATATATATATATATATATATATTTATATATATATATATATATATATATATATAATATTAAATATATATACAAAAGAAACATTTTTATTCTCTCGAGAGAGGAAGAGAGAGAAAATATATCTTCTGTCTCTCTCTTACTCATTATCTGACATATGTAATGATTTCACAGATTCACTCCCATACAAATTTCCAACGCCGACCGTGCGTATAGAAGTATAACTTCAAAAAAAGAAGAAGAAGAAGAAGCGTAGTAGATTTTCGTAGACAGCTACGGTCAAAATGTCAGCCGAATTGGACTGGCAGTTTTGATTTGACCTCGTGTGAACGCTGGAGTGTCCGCTGATTTTGAAGGTGAAGGCAGAAGGCGACGGCTGTCCTATCGAACGGAAACGTAATGGCCACCGTTTTCTGGGATTCACAAGGTGTGATCTACGTCGACTACCTGCAGAAGGGCAAAATGGTCACAGTGCTCTATTATGCCAAATTAATGGTTCAACTGGAAAAAAAGTACCTTCCCTCTTGACAACGCACCGCCGTCGCCACTGTCACATTATTCGAATTGGGCTACGAAATTCTGCCCCTTCCACCGCGCAACGTCTTGTGACAACGTCTTTCGGTTTCCAAACTTGAAAAAGTCATTCGCTGGACAGAAATTAAAATCGAACGTGGAAGTCATCGCTGTCACGGAGGCCTACTCTGCAGACTTCAAAAGAACGTATTTTTCAGACGGACTTATCGGACCACCCTCGTAGTTCATTTTTAGTAATGTGATTAGATAAAAAAACAAAAACAAAACAATGATATCGAAAATTTTGGTGTTAATAGTTGGCGTATAATTGGACTTTATGAGAAGATGTCTTCAAATTACAAGAAGGAATAGAATAAGGACTGAGGAAAGTGGAATCGGATGAAAGTAAAATGCTGACTAACAAAAAAAATTGGAAAACAAAACAATAAAATGATATAGTTATGTTCTAAGAATGCCAGGCCATATGTGATCAAAAAGAGTTAATAGTAACCTCCAGAAAGGAGAGGAAGACTGGAGGATAAGAGAAGTTGACTGGAGGATAGAAAGCTGTGGAGGATTAAAAGGACCAAATCATAATGGGCGAATGGGGAAATTAACGGAATTTACAAAACTAAGAAAAGAGTAGAGACAATGAGGTAAAAATGAAAGAACCAGCAATATATAAATTCTATGGTGTGTGAATCATGATGATAATGGAATAGAAGTGATAATTGTTGCATATTCTTTAATATTAGTAATAGAAATATTAGAGACAACAGTCATCTATAAATTGAAATACAACATACATATTGTTGATCGTTGAATTGATAAAAATATTGAAAATTGATAGAAACTACCGTGTAAGTGACTTCAAAAGTCAAGATATACTTACCAGTGATTTGTTGTTCCTCACCAATAATTTTACATCTTCGGCAGTAATGGTGGACCTCTTGGCATGCCTGCAAAATAATTTTTATTAATTGTCTTAAAAAGTCCGGATATCTCAAATGGTGGTATACTCTCACATAGAAGGCAAATGTTCAATAACTAGTTCCTGCGAAACAATCTATATATTTGAAAAAATATTTAAAAGCCCTGATCAACTCAGCCCCAATAAAATGAGTACCTTGAGTACCTGTTGATAACAACTCGAAGGTCCTCAAAGACACTTTAACTTATTAGAAAACAAAACTAGAATATTAAAAACCCTATCGGGCTACATGACAGAACGTTTTTGGAATTAATATTCCATCATCAAGGTTATCTGGATGTACATGTTAAAAGTCACTAAATACATGGGTAAAAACCCTTTAACTGTTGTTAAATTAACTTTGAATTACATTATTTAACTTTTTAAATTATAATGTTACATGGTAAAGTAAGACTCCACTGGAGATTGCTAGTCCTCAGACGAAGTGTCTACAAGGACTTGTTGCTAGCAAACAAACATAGCTTAAAAAACTATTCAGTCGATCTGGCTGAAATATAACACACTTCAATAACTCATTAATTGCCACAATTTCAGGTAATTATATTACATACCATTAAACAAAAAAAAACAAGTTATTACTGTTATTACATTTTAGAACTTTCAAAGATCTGTATAAGATTTTTATGTGAAATCAATGAGTTTTTCAGAGATAGACTATAACTTTTTTCCTCTGCTTCAAATATCTCTTTCTTATCTTCTTCAGATAGTCTTTTTTCAGCAAATTTTTGTTAGAATATGTGGAAATGAAGAAGAAAAATGCCTAATAAGTAATAAAATTGTATAAAATGCAACAATAGAATAATAACTATAATGTAGTAATTGCTTTTAATTTTTAGATATCAATTGTCCTAACTAACATGTCATCATAGCTCTTTAAATTTATTCTACTTATAACTAATAACTGTAACAAACCTCTCATTGGTGGTCCCTTAAACTTTCTTTTAGGTCACATTTAATAGTATGAAATATGTCTGTTAATACTAATTGAGCTGATTCAATGTTATTTCTAACAATGTAGCAATGCCATATATGTAATGATAAGTGGATCATACAGTGTAACCATAGTGCAAAAGTAATGCATATTGCATTACTTACTGTTCCTACTATGAGTTGTTCTATATTAGTGGCATGAGCTTCTTCAATTCTGACTACATCAATATTATTCATTCAACATATTATAAATATGACCAAGAATTTTAGATATGCATTGGCTTTAGCTCTAGAAATACTTTCTATATTCAGCTAGTTCTGAGAACAACAGTTTGACTAGGTTGTGTTTGATGTTGTTTTCATGTTTCTCCTAAATCTCTTTATTACCAGGAACAAAAGATTAGAGTTTCTGTTTATTTATTAATTTGAAAAATTACATGATGCTCTTATCATTTTTAAATAGATAATCGTCAAATTTGGATAAAATCTACAAACAGCCACAAAAAGTGTATTGACCAAGCAAAATAAGAGTGTAGTCATCACAGAAAGGTCAGTAAAACATCATGTCTAGAAAAGAGGAACTGGAGTAGATACTATCGCAATTATATATAAAACAAAATATGCATTGTATGTACTGTCATGTTATATTTGTCTAAATGTAAGAATCTTCATTGAATTCCCTTCCTTTATGTAGCTGATACTGCACATAAGCCATATTAATGTAAAAGCAAAAGCTTACTTTTGAAACGCATCCAGATCGGATCCATACATTTGTATTTTCTTGTAAACTAACTCAGATATGAGATCTATTGAATTATTATCAAATTCCATCTCATACTGTGGTGCAATTTTATTTACCATTTCTTTTGTAGTGTTGTAAACAGTCTGCCTAGTTTTCTGAAACAAGAGTTATCAATTACATTTTAATAAAAGAAAAATGTATACACAAGTAGAATTCCTCAGAAAAAAAAATCAAACAAGGTTCTGTGAAAATAAAAAAGCAATTTCCTAAGTATGTATCACAAAGCTGATAACCAGAACTTTAATAATTTCTGTATAAAATTATTAAACTTATCATTCATTTAACGTATACCTGTTCTGTGGACATGTTTTGTAAATATAAAATATCACACTTTCAACTTTTTTCAAACTTAACAGTCTTTCAAACTAAGTAGGGTTATAAAAATATTTATATATAATTGTTACTGTTAGCGCCATCTGTACAATACATTAACAGATATATTTAAAGGCGCCTTTAAATAGACATATTAAGTAAAATCAACTACCACTAGATGTGACCTAACTCTAAATTTAGGAAAATTATTAATTTATTTTACAATATTATTTACTATATTCTAAAGCCAGTGGGAATAAATTAAATTAAACATTAACAAAACGAAGAACTGGAATACTTACAAAGCTGCCAAGTAAAACAAAAACAACGTTTCAGTACGCCGATTAATCGATGTCAAATGGATGTTAAACATTTTTTATGAAATTCTGTTGTGAAGTTTATAATATTTATAAGTTTATAATATAGTTTACTACTGTTTCTTTGCAATTTTTTAATTAATCGCTGAATTTTAAAGTAGCTCTCGCGTCAAATTTATTTTTTGTTAACTATATAACACATTACCTCGGAGGTGCTGATATGTTCATTTTAACTGATATGTTCATTTTTATAGGTATATAATCTTGAATATCTACGTAAAATCAAGCTATATAAAAAGATGTCTTGGTAGATTTAAAATCTACTTAAAAATAATTCTTATTTAATTTTTAGAATTTAACTGTTCAGAATTTACTCCATTTAGACCTATCTAAAAATTTAACTATCGCTTCTAACATTGTTCACCTTTTTTAAAGTCTTACTCTCGCGTAGGAAGAGATTTTCTAGAGCAGCCGTTCTCAACCACCGTGTCGCGACACACTGGTGTGCCGGAAGAACCTATCAGGTGTGTCGCGAGATTTATATCTTTTTACTTATTAAAATATACCAATCATACATTTAACCATTTTTTTTTAACTATTAGGTATATACCACGTTATACTAATTAATAAAGTGCCAATCCGTAATTGTTTCCTCTCTGTTTTTAAAATTTAACCGACATAGCTTGCGTTACCGACTAAACTTTTTTTGCATTTCTACCGCACCAAACCTTTTTTATTCGATTCTATATATTTTTTCAAGTTTAAATGTATTTTTTTTTTTTTCAAGTGGGCTGGAAATTCTTATTTACAATTAACATAACAAAAAACAGTTGCCGAATCGCTTAGAGTAAAATTGTTATAAACATATTGCAGCGAAGGTAATACTTTTTCTTGTTGATAATGTTTCGGAAAATGCTGTCTTTTCGAGTAATTTGCAATTTTTTTGAACAAATGCCTTAGTGATTTTTGGGATTTTTTTTCTAAAAAGCGACTTAATGAATTGCAATTTTACTTAAAGATTTATAATCTTTAAACCTTCACGTATAAGTAAGAATATTTTTACCGGGATAATAGGCCAGGGAAATAAGCAAAAAAGTACTTTTTTTATGACACTAACCGGCCAAACAAACGACAGTTGTTTTGACTGTAACAAAAACCTATATGCTTCCTGCAGTCGATTTTGTGGACTTAATTAGTTATTAACAAATTAAGGTCGAAAAACGGAAAATGTTTGCTGTTTTCGTCTATCATCAAAAAGTGAAGCAATTTAAACAAATTTTAGAAGAAAAGAAACTTATAAGTTATATAAAACCTTCAAAATGGCGTTTTCTAAATGTTTCTATCCTTATTTTTTGCTTAGGAAGTTGCAAAATAAGTCAAAAATTTCGTTTTTTATAAATGTTAATAACTTTTTTGAAAATAAACTTATAACATTTATATTTCTTGGAATGCTGGGTCTTGCAGTGCTTAAAATATGGACAAAATTTCAAAGTGATCGGTCAAATAGTTTAAAAGTTATTTTTATTTGTTTATCCCAAATTAACATTCTTTGCAACAATATAAGTCAGAAATTTATACATTTTTAGTATTTGTGGGTAGTTTCTGGAAGAAGAATACTTGTTTGATTACTTACGTTAAAAAAAATTAAGAAAATAATTTTAAATATTGCAAAATAATTTTGCAAAAACATGCCGAATTTTTGCTTATAAACAATTTAAATAACTTTTTAACCATTTACTCTAAGAATATTATTTTGTTATATTTAAAACGCCCATTTTTTTTACAAATTTCAATGAAAAAAAATTTGTCCTAAAATAATATGGCACAAAGTTAGCCTCTTTTTTTATTTAATTCATAGCACCTTTGATTATAACAGTTAAGAAATCTAATTAGCGCTATTTGACAGAATATATACTTTATATACTCGGTTCGCTAATCCCAGTCCGAACTATCTAGTGATTGTAGTAATTATGTTTTCACGAAGTTACTTTTTGACAGACTGGAAGGGGCTGGAAATTACTATACAACCAAACACACGTGCTCATAGTGCATTTCATTAGAGTATTTCATCGACCTCTTTTGCAAACTTATACTATGACCAGAGAATAATAAACGATCAGAATGCCCACTCTCCATGGAAAATTAAGTACGCACATACGTTCCGCCATGTTTTAAAGGGAACCCGTGTTGTTTAATGAAAATTTATGTGGTGTACATAGAAAAATTAACCCGGTTTACTTGACTTACGGCAATCATAGACATACTATACAATTATATTAACATTGTTAAATATAATAACATAAATATATAATTAAATATAAATATAAACAATTACATAACCTCACAAATCATATGTCTGTGTTATGTGTTTCCTTCTAAAACATGGCGCGTGCTGAAAAACTTCAAAGGCGGCATCTGAGAGTGGGCATTCTGATTTTTTATTATTCTGTGCTATGACTTAGAAATTTATAGCATGTATAAAAAAAGTAAGTTTCTATTATACTTATGTAAAAAATATATTTTATAAAAAAGTTACGGTAATTTAGTTTATATCGATAGGCTGCACCAAATGTAGGCAACAATCTTCAAAATATGTTTAATATTTTCTTCAAAAAGAAAAAGAGTTTCTTCAAAATATGTTTAATAAACGTTTAATATTTTCTAGTTAATTTTTCATTTTTTTTTAAGTGATGATAATCATGCTGAATAAGTAATATTTCAAATGATATATAATCATAAGACGTACTTAATATGATGTTATATTATCCTCATAATAAAGTACGTTAGGTAAAAAATATCATAATATTCATATTATAATTAAAAAACATCATTCATCAAAAATATAATTCAAAAATATCATAATATTCTATAATTTCCATCAGAAACTAATTTTAGACGACCCGGGATTTTACCTTTTTATCTAACGTAGGTACTTTATTATGAGTATTAAATAATCCGGCAACGTGGCGCGGAGTTGAAGATTTTTGTTTTATTTTCTGTCTGCGATAAACCCGAAATTCGAGAGTTGCAACGGGAAATAATTCAATACGTTGTAGTGAGAATTGAGATAACTGAATAAGGTAACAACTGTGCAAAAATAAACACCGAAAACTGCAAAAAAAAACAATAACAAAGTGAATAATCGGATAAGGGAAAAAAGCGAGGTTAACTGATAAGAACTAACACTGGAAGGAAGCTACGTTTAAGTGAATTGCGACGTTGCCAATGTGTGCAAAGTTTCGTGTTTGCCACGGAATACAAAATTAGTCCAGACTTCGAATAGGGGATTCAACAGGAAGTGGTAGATACTGTTTCTTCCGAGCTGTTGAAGCGAGAGATAGTGTCTGGCGCCAATCAGAGTTGAAAGTAATCCGCGAAGTGACCAAAAAAAAAGGAAAAGCATACAAGGATGGAAAAATATCTACAAGGTAAAACGTATATGGACAGTGACGATACAACAACAGATGAAGGAGCAAAAAGAAAGAATAGAGGAGAGGATGATGAGCAAGAGGAAGAGAGATCCAGAAAAAATAAAAAACTAACAAGAACCCCTCAGAAGACAGGAGGAAAAGAGGATGGAGCAAAACTTGATAAATTGCTAGAAATGATGAGCAACCTAACCAGCGACATTAGACAAATAAAAGAAGACCAAAAGGAATACAAGGAGGTAGTTGAACATCTAATAAGGGAAAACAAGGAACTAAAGAATGATAATAAAATTCTAAAAGAGGAAAACATACAGATTAATAAAGAATTAAGGGAAATACGAGACAACATAGAAATTATAGAAAAACAGAGAAGGCGAAATAATGTGGTAATGAATGGGCTAGCAATTGATACGCAGGATCAGCTGGTATTGAAGGAAGCAATTGGCAATTTTATAAAAGATCACCTTGCAGTAGAGGCCAAAATAAAGACGGCCCACAAACTAGGTCCAAAAACGTGCCTAATTGAAATGGAGAACCAACAAGAAAAGATAAAAGTTATGAAGAATAAAGCAAAGTTAAAGGACGTCAAAAAGGAAAAGGTATACATCAATGATGACACAACGGTGAGAGAGAGAGAAATTCAAAAAATAATAAGAAAAATTGCACAAGAGGAAAGAAACAAAGGAAACGAAGTCAAAATAGGAGCAAGGAAAATGATGATAAATGGTGTTGAATGGAAGTGGAATAGCAAGGAAGATAAAATGGAAATAACAAACTCAAAAAACTAGAAAACGGCTATGATAGTAAAAATACGACGACGAACAACGCAAGGAACAAGGACATGAATACCGGTAACATTGTCATAGGAAAGGGTGATTTAAAGATAAAAAATGCAAAAAAGGGCAATAGAAACACATATCCAAAAGATCACTTAATGGTAGGAACGTGGAACGTAAGGGGTACTTTTGAGGAAGGAAAACTGAAACACTTAACTAAAGAAATTGAAAAGTTTAAATTTGACGTAGTGGCACTACAAGGAACAAAGCAACTGGGTCAGGAAATGCTGGAAATTGAAAATAGCTTATTTTTTAATAGTGGAGGCAGAAACAGAATATTAGGCACAGGATTTTTGGTAAATAAAGCGTTAAAAGCATCAATTGTAGAGTTTAAACCAATATCTGATCGTCTATGTTGTCTAAGAATAAGAGGAAAATATCAAAAAATCACATTCATTAACATTCACTCACCGTCAGAAGAAAAAGATATTGAAGTAAAAGAGGATTTCTACTGTGAAGTTAATAGGGT